ACCCCCAACCCGCTTGTCCCCAACCCTATGTTCCCAACCTGTTTCCTCACCATGGTGTCACTTCCACTTATTTGCTGTGTCAGCCTGGGGCTGTCATTTTTGAGGCTGTGCAGGCCCTCTAGGGGGTCAAAACTCTTTCCCTCACCTAAAACGTCTGGGGCCACGTTCAATGCCCCCCAATAGTGTCTACAGTGATTGCTGGCTGATAGGCTGGCTGAGTTTGGCCACCACTATCTACTGAGGCTTACTTGGTGCGACCTCTTTTAATGGCAACGGTACGGTTCGAATGAAGTGGTACGTGATTATTCCAACCTGATGAGAACAATCCAGGTGCAGATTTGCTGTCACCTGTCAGAGCTGCGGAGCCAGATTCTAACCCAGGCTGTTAGTTCCAAACACCGGCTCTGTCGAATTTGTAACAAACCTAGTTTCTTTCTTCTCTGGCTCCACCCCCCGCCCCCCACTCGCGGTGCTGGAGACCCTTTCTCCAGGCTGGGGGGACGCAGCCTGCCTCCCAAGAGGCTCATCCGGGTCGCCTCAGGCAGGTGCAGGGCCAGGCGGGCGCGTGGGGCGGGGCGGGGGCGTTATCTCCTGACCGATGGCGGCCAGCACATCTGTTTATCTCTGAAGCCGCACTGGATTAGATTTCTCGATGTTTATCTCCCTCAGAGTAGCAGTGCGCTGGCGCTGCCGAGAGCGCAGCTGCGGACTAAGCCGTGATTGACAGGTCGGGAGCAGGGCCTCCAGCCCCTGTTTCATCTAGGTGGGGGCTGCTGGGCTGCCCTTCGCCCACCCGTCTGAAAGCGCTGCAGGTGAGTGTGCTGGTGACCAGGTGATTCCAGGTTGCTTGGTCTGCCAGCACACAGAACAGGCCTTCCTCTAATTAGGGAGGCCAGTGAGAGGATGCTGTTGATTTAGTGACACAGAAGGGAGCAGGAGGTGGAGGGGGGGGGGAGATGGGCCGTGAAAAGATGGATGAAATCCTAATGAGTCAATTTCCTAACCTGTCAGGGAGGCAGCCTTAGGGAAACAAGGAAGGCTCTCGGAAGTGCCCTTTGCTCCTAAGAATGCCCTGGGCTAAAAGGGAGCTCCCTTTGGGGAGAAGGGGCTGTGAGACCACAAGGACTTCCAAGTGGGCTGCCTTCAGGAGGCTGCAAGATCTGGGGAAACTGAGATTGGAACATTTGCCTACCTTCCCTGGCCATACCCCCTACCCAGAACAGGTCACCCCCATTTTCCTTTCTGTCATTCAGTTTGTGCTTCCATAGACACTCATGGTGTGGGGCTGTGATTGATGAGGCAGTTTCTGAGGGCAGGGGTGGGGTCAGTGCTTGGACACCAAAAGGTAAGTGGCATGGAGTGGGTGTTGGGGAAACCTCTGTTGATGGCCCTATTACTAGCCCTTTGAGGATGCTGGCTGAATGACTATGCTTTGACTTTTTAAAAAGGCACCTAGGAATTTAAAAGATGATTGGTTTTTTTTTGTTTGTTTGTTTGTTTTAAAAGAGGAGTTTTTGATTGTGAACTTTTTCATGCAGGGCTCCCACTTGGTGCCTGGTTTGAATGTCAATGAATGTCAGCAGTGTTAGTGACTTCAATTCGCTACTCCAGTGGCTTCCTAATAGATATTATTTGTCCCTCTTCAACTTTCATCCCAATTCTCTCACTTCACCAAATACTCAGCTCCCCATTTTCATTATCTGGCCCCTTTCAGAGGGGGATTACTGGGTACCCTTTATTCTCCTGATGTTGGAAGAGATCTGCATATCTATTACAGTTAATATCTATCTATCCCCTTGCAGTGGAGGTCTGGGGTCTGGAGCATCAGGAAATAAGGACATTCAAGGAACAACCTGGGCAGTGCATGCTCTACCTGGGCCACTGGCTAAGACTCAAAGTCAGCAGAGAACATTGGCTGATTCCGTGCGTGTGTCGGGTTGGCTGTGCGGATGGCTCTGTAGCTTCAGCAATGACATACAGACACCTGAACTTAGCGCTTCACCCAGACTGTCTAGAGTTGGCAGTAGCCCCCAAATAAACAGAAATGTTGTTTTGATGGGCAAATGGATACTGGGTGGCACATGGGATAAGTATCTACTTCTCTTGGTAGAACAGGCACTGTCTTTCTAGGCTGGAGGGCCAATAGGTTCCAGAGTATCAAGAAATAGAAATGGGTGAGCAGCCTTCAGTGTCCTGCCAGCCCTGAGGGCTTGCAGCCCTTATAGCATTGAAATGACTTCAACTAATGGCAGGGGTGGGTGATGCACAAATGCTTTCATGCAGGTTTCCTCACTTTTTATGCTTCCCTGTAGAAGTGGAGTACTACTTTTCTGAACTTTTGTCAAATCAGAAATGCAGTTTCCTTGGAGGACCACCAGAAACAGAAAACAAGGGTTAATATAACAAAGTACTAGACAGCCCCAAACTGTAGTCTTTTCCATAAGCTGCCTGGGAATCACTTCTGGTTCTTCACATCCAGGAGCTTTGCTGAGAGATCTGAGGGGCAGGGAAGGTGTCACCAATACTGCACTTCTTGCCAGTGAGTCAGGTCAGACCATTCATAAAACAAAACCTGTGTTGAGACATGACTAGTTGGGACTGATCTAGGCTTCAAGATATGGATTCCATTTCCCTTCTGTAAGTTAGTGCCTCCTGCTAACAGTCACCATTCAAGTTGGCATCTATCAAGACAGGCCCAAGACAGGCACAAGGAGGGCCTCGTCTTCTTAATTACCTTGGGCAGGTGGAACCTAATCCATTATTTTTGAGACAAATCTTTACCTCCCTGATGGGACCCTAATGGCCTCTTACCATGAGGGGGCTTAAAAGGTTTTCCCTCTAGGAGCCAAGTCGGAAAGTCTTAAGGTGAAGAGTCAGGAATGGGAGGAATTTAAACACGCAGAATTCCTGATCAGCTGCCAGGGGAGGGCCCAGGAGACTTGTTCAAGAAACAGGCTGCCCAAAATAAGTCAGAAAAGATAAATATCAGATGGTCTCACTTATGTATAGAATATAGAGAAACCAATCAAAAGGTCAAGAAAAAGTCAAAACTAGTTGACCATAGATCTGAGGCATCCAGCAAAGGAGAGGGAGGGAGGGGGGTCAGAACAGGGGAGGAATGAACACAAGGGAATATGGTGCTAGTTCAAGGGTGATTTGGTGGCGGGAGAACTATGGGCACTACAACGATGTAAGAAATTAATTAATTAATTTATACAAAGAAGAAACTGGCTGCCTGAGTGGCTTAACTGAAGACAGAAGAGCAACTGTGGTTGGGAAAGAGGGGACTGAGGAAGCATCAAGTGTGTTCAGAGCCGTTTTCAGAGCCCTTTCTACTCTTTGGAATCTTGGGAATATTTGCTTTTACAGAAAGATTCATAGACATTTTACAAGGCACAATTCTTAGCCCTTTGGGAGAGCTGAAGACGTCTTAAGGTGCCATGTGCAAAGGGTCCCTGCGGGTGTCCTGGAGAATTCCAGCGAAGATTCCCTCACTCTGGTGGTTGGTTCAGTTCTCTCTACACTGTGGGTCTCTTCCATCATGTAGGCCATGGCACTGGTTTGGCTGCTGCTGCTTTGGCTCTGTTCTCCTTTCCATTGTATTCAGACCCCCCATCAGACCAAGTCCTTTCAGTCTTAAGAAGACAAAGGCTGACCTTCTAAGGAAGGGACTTCTTTTTCTAAATATTTACACTGCTGCCCTGAATAATCAGTAAGACTCCTTTTGTGTGGGACTTCACAGGCACAAGTCCGTCACCCCCAGCCCACTGTGCCTGACATGGTCAGTGGTTCAGGCCTCCCTGTCCTTGGTTCCAAGGAGGCAAGATTGGAACAATCCATCTGACCCACAGAAAGCCCAATGAGACCTGGGGATGGAGGTGGGAGATAGGGTGAGGAGAGCAGCAAGCCATTTTCCTTGACTGGTCCTGAAAATTCAAGAGGTATCCCATTAGTGGAGGTATATTTTCTTTCCTTTTTTGGGGGGGGGTTTAAATGGTCAAGGGATATTTGAAGATTGAGATGAAACCCCCCTAAGTATCTTAGCAACCCATTCCAGGGCAGCTCATCTGTGTTCCACAAACATTATTGAATGATAAATGGGACTGGTCTTTCCTTTCTGTATTCTTAGAACTCAACCTAAGCCTGACACACAGTAGGTGTTTAGATAAGAAAAGCATAATCAAAGAGTAGCCATAGCCATGACTATTCAGAGGAAGAAGAGTTTTACTCCTGGGACTCTGATGTCATGTCTTAGGCAGGTTGTAGCTTTTTATGTCTATATGTTTCTAGAAAACTGCAAATCAGATTGCTGTAAATTAGAACCTTGAAGTTATCTTGCATTCCTAGAACCTGGGTAAGGAGGTGAAAATCCTTTATCTGAATAGCATTTAGGAAGTGATTAGGTTATGAGGGAGGCACCCTCATGAATGGGATTAGTGCCCTTATAAAAGAGACCCCAGGGAGTCTCCACCATGACAGGAAGTAATTCTGCACCCCCAGAAAAGCGCCCTTACCAGAACCCAACTGTGCTGGCAACCCTGTCTTGGAGTTTCAATCTGTAGAATTGTCAGAAAGAAATTTCTAGGATTTTTTAAATAATCCACTGGTCTGTGGTTGGAGGAAGTCATGTAGAGGACGCAGGTGCTGGTTGACTGGGAGCTGTGGAGCCATCAGAGGCTCCCCTGTCCTTGGAACGTGGGTGCCACCCACCATTGCAGTGTGCTAGGATCAGCTTCCAGGACTCAACCCAAGAGAGGATTGTGTTATTGACACCACCTGGACTGAATATATAACTGAACCCCATTAAATCCGATATAGACTTGAGGTTCTAGAGGCCAGGGGCCCAGACTTGTCTCCAAGGAAAGTTCCCTTGGTTAGCAAGCCTGCCAGACGCACGTGCGGCCATCCGTCTGCTGGTCCTCGGTATGCGCGAGCTGGGGGTCGCTGCTGTGACCTCGCGAGACTTGCAGGCGCGGGCGGGATTTGGTGACAGCCGCGGCTCAGGCCGCCATGACGCTCCAGACAGCTGCGCCCGGCGGTCCTGTGAGGACACCTGACAAGGGGGTGCACTGGCTAGACTGCTTTCACATAGGCCCCCCCATCATCTGGTTGGAGGTTAGTGCTGGCAGCTGGCGGGAGCCCCACTTCCTCACGCGGTGGATCTCTTCGCTGGCGACTTGAGGGGCCTCAAAGGAGGTGACTTGGTACCCCGCTTCCCTGCCTACCCTCTTCTCCCCCCTCCGTCAGCGTCTGAGAGAAAGACCTGGTCGTTCCTGACTCAGTGTGGGGGTCGTACACGGTCATTTCTGCAGTGACCTCCAGGGTAACCCGCCCCGTGTGGGGTTCTCCCCGGGGCCTGTGTGACAGGAGGTGAGAGTGTGTGCGGGCTTCTGCTTGAGGGCAGTAGGTCCTCCCTGAGTTCTTGGAAACTTCCACTTTAAGCAAAATACTCAATAGAGAAACTAATTTTACCAGAAGTTAACGGATACAAACAAGAGTGAAGTTCCCAGGCGGTATCTCTGGTAACAAAACATCACCAAACGTCTTTTGAAGACCCCAGCCACTTCTACTATTTATTTTATTTTTTCCAAAGATTTATTTATTTATGCATACAAGCACTGGGGTACAGGCCAGAGGTGTGGAGGGTGAGAGGATTCACCAGAGACAGAGTGGGGAGCAGAACAGGCAAATCTACTGAAATACACTGCTGAGGGGAGCAGCAGGTGAGACAGGAGAGGTCTGCTGTGCATGTGGGTTGCTCCCTGGCTGGGGATCGAACTCATGCTGCAGTGGCTGCGGACAGCCTCATAGGTTGTGTCTCAACCCCTTGCGCCACCAGGGAGGCCCCCACTTCTAATATTCAAACAATCATTTGTATTTATCCATCTGCCCACCTGTCTGTCTGCCAGTCCATCCATCCATTTTCCAAGGTGCTTGTTCCAGTTCTGGATGGTAGATGTTGGGGCCTGCCCCAGTATCTCAAGATGCAAGCGGGGACCAACCCAGGACAAGATTCCTGTCCATTGCAGGCGTCCTGTACACACACACACACACACACACACACACACACACACACACACACACACGGACTGGGACCATTGACACGATAATGAACCTAATGTGCCCATCTTTGGGGTGGAGTGAGGGAACTGGAATGTCTGGAGAAAACCCGTTCAAACTTGGGGAGAACATGACTGTGCCACACAGACAGTGGCCCCAGCCAGGAATTTTTTTTTTCCTCCCATCAATGTTGTGACAAAACATTGAAGGATCTGCTGCATACACTTTATTTTCTGTGCATTGTTCTTTGTCCTTTTTTCTCTGCCCTTTGAGAGCAGTACTATTTGTCCTTTTCATCTGCCAAGTGTCCAGAATAGTCCCTGCCACCCAGAGGGCACTTACTAGTTATCTGTTAAATTGCATTAATTTAATTGAAACATTTGCCCAGAGTCTGCAGGGGGTGAAGGAGGAACTAGTGATCACTGCCTCTGACTTGCTATGTTTTATGATTTTTTTTAAGATTTATTTTATTTATATAAGAGCTGGGGTACAGGCCAGATGTGCGGGAAGGTGAGAGAATTCAAATTCACCAGATACAGAGTGGGGAACAGAACAGGCAGATTGACGAAATACACTGCTGAGGGGAGCAGCGGGCGAGACTGGAGAGTTCTGCTTGCCTTGTGGGTTGCTCTGAGGCCAGCGGGGATTGAACCTGCACTGTAGAGGCTGCAGACAGCTTCAGAGCACTGCGCTCAACTGCCTGTGCCATCAGGGAGGCCCTATGATTTTTTTTTTAAGTAAGACCCACTTATATTTCAGGGTAGTTAGTAAGAAATAGTTGAGGGACATGATTCTATACTTTCACTCCAATGGAAAAAAAAAAGGAAGCTTCTTTTTGTTTTTAAATTAGTTTAATTTTCATAGGTTATGTTCAGTTTTGTATAGTAATTGGTTTCTCCCCTCAGGTGTAGTCCCTGTAGTTGTCCCACCACCGTATCACCCATGAGCCATCACCATATTCTCTTGTGTTCTAAAAGGAAGCTTCTTAATGCCTTTCTGTATGCCTCAGTTTCCTCACTTGAAAAATAGAATATTGCTGAGTTCTTTTAAGGATTTAATGAGATATGAATATAAAGTGCATCTCATATAACAAGCTCTCAAAAAAGATGTTGGTTTCATTTTGAAATTAGGAGATGGCTGACTCCTGAAACAGCATGTGAGGAATAATACACCAGGAATGTGTCCTTGCTAGAATTATGCAGTGTACCCCACGCTGAGGTTCCTCTGATGTGGATGCCTGCAAGCAACCCAGACATCACCCAGAAATCTTCCTGAGGAAGTTGAGGAGTAGTGGGGTTAATTTGCTAACTCAAGAGCACTTTCAGTTAGTCATCAAACCTTTGAATCATACTAGGTGCCAGTCCTGGGCTTACAGAGATAATGAAATGAGTTCTTGGCTCAGTTGAGAAGGAAAGACAGACAGATAAGGCCATACTTCTGGAACAGTGAGGTCAGTGCAGTGTAGAAGCAAGTCCTGGAGAAAAAGGGATACAGAAGGAGGTGACGCAATCTGAGATTTAGGAGTTGGGGTGTGAAGGATGTGAAGCAGGCAAGGGAAGTCCCAGCAGAGGAATTTGCTGGGTAAAAGCCTGAAGTTATAGAAAGCATGTGAAGGTCATGGAGAGACTTGAGTCTAGACAGGCAGAAGAGATAAATAGTCTGGAATTTTATCCTGTAAGATTTTGATTTCATAGCTCTAGAAATATCTAAACAAAGAATGAGCTTGTCACACTGATATTTTAAAAACTGCTGGTCACCTTTGGTAGGACATACTAGAATGGGTGAGATAGGCAGGGGTTGGAAAGGACGCTGGACAGGGACCCAGCAGCCAAGGAGAGGAATTATGAAAGGCAGTGCTATACTGGGCATCACCCTGGGATCCTCCCAGTCCAATCTGGAAGGGCAGCCTGCGCTCCCTTTCCCTTGGCCTGCCCTAGTTATTGCCAGTGGAGGAGACCTTGGGACCTACATTTGTCTCATGGTAGAAGGCAAGGCGTGTGGAGATCTGATCCACTGCCCTCTTAGTACCTGCTTTCTTCTACTGGGGGAGGGGCTCATGCCGATGAGCTCTACCACCTCTCCTCTCTTACCCATGGGAAATGAAACAAAGACTTTTCCTTGACTTCCCCCCCTCCCCATAGCTCCTAGCTCCTACTCTGCCTGGCTCAGTGTACACATGGGACAAAGAGAGTGGTTTTATGATCCATTTCCCCTGGAGACCAGAGTCTGCCCACCCATCTTTGCCCACCCAACAACTTCTAGTACAGAGTCTAGCCATTTTCACGGGGTCCCATCAAGTAGATGATCTTGGCAAACAAATTCAAGCCCTGCTTGAGACCCTTTCTGCAGAGTCTTTATACACGAGTGCACACACACACACACACGCACAAACACATATTCACATGTGCACACCCCCTCCCCCCACAGAGCCATGGTTCAGAATGGGATTTATCAGTTCCCTGAACCCATTCCCTCCCCACCCTGGGTTCATTGCCAGAGAAGCGAAAGATGAGCTGTGTGCTTTTTCTTTTGAGCCAAATGACTCAGTTCTCAGTTAAAGGGAGGCACATCTGTCATGCCCAGCCTGGGGACTTTGGGGCAAGCCTCTAGGGAAAGTCTGCAAGTGTCTTAAGCCTCCCTTTGAGGGTGATAGGGAGTCCTTCAACTCAATGTGCGGGGCCTGGAGTCCTTGTCATCTTCTGCATTCCCCACCCCCACTCACCCCAACCTCCTCCACACACCTAAGGCCGCTAGCCTGGTGCTGGGCTTTCATCTAGGATCCTCATCTCCTACCCTGTGTGAGAGGCAGTGGGGGAGCAGAAGTGTCAGGTTTTTGTGGTGGAGGAAATCTGGCAGCCCTAAATTTATTCCTGAATCAACCATCTGCTGAGTGTGTTTTCTAGGATTATGATATATTTTTTGAGGGAGTTGGGAGGTCTAAAATGGTGATTCCTTCTTGACTTCTTCTCTGTTGTGCTGTTGTTCTTAGAACACTTTTGAGAGCCATCATGAGCCACGGGAGGCTTGGTGTCAGACCTCGTTTCAGCTCTAATGCAGCCACTTTCTCTTGACCCGTGCCTTTTAGTCTGTTTCCATCTGTAAAATGGAGACAAAAGATGATTCTGTTTCCCTAAGACCCCAAAGAGCCATTATAGGCAAAGTGTTTTGCAAACTGCAGAGTGATGCAGAATCACCATTTGGTGGTAATGATGAAGCCAGAACCTGAAGAGCTAGCATTAGACCAGGGCACCTTCATGCTTTGGAATTTGGATCCAAGGTGTCACTGCAGCTTTTCCTCCCTAGCATTGGTGGCAGGGAAGCTGGGATGCGGTTTGGAAGCTGACCTTTGATTATCAGTTAAATAAAACCCACTGATTGCTGAAGGAGTGGCAAAGGGGAAGAATGAGAGCAGCACCTGCTCCAGTGGAGTAAGAATGTCCTCCTGCCCCCCAACAGCTGGTTTGACCTTAGGTTCTGACAAATATCTTTTCTTACAGGAACAGGGAGGTGGGAGGAGGAGTCTGGGCTCCAGCTGGGTCCCAGAGGAAGTGCAAGGTTGAATCCGATGACCCAGGCTTGTCTTTCTCATCCCTTTGTAAATACTTCAGATCCCAAGATTTCCCCCAGGAACGGTCCCTACTGTCTTGGCTTGCTCAAGACTGAGGGATTCCGGGTTGTTGACTTTCAGTGGTAAGAAAGGAACATCCTGGATAAAACTCTCCTGAAAGTTTATTCTTTTTGAATTGCTCAGCTGGTCCCTCATTATTGGAGGAGAGGTATCATTAGCCCACCCTCACCCCCACCCCCAGGAGGAGGAGAAGCAAGAAGCAATTTCATCTTAGATTTCTGCATCCCAGCACAGTGCATAGTGTGTTTGGTCAAAGTGTGGGTGATGGATGAATCACACTCTGATGAACTTTTTTTTTTTTCAGGTGTTTACTTTCTTTTCTTTTTTTTAAAATAAATTTTATTTTTATATTCCCCATACAATTGCAACCCCCTTATTTTGACCCCAATCCCTCCCCTCCCCGCCCCCCACCCCCCATAGAGTGTCT